CGTATCGCGCGCGATAATGTCGCTTTACGTAATCTCTGCGTTTTAACCAGACGATTTATTGTGTAGTTTAATATATTCACAAGAATGCCGATTAAAAGTGCTACTCACAATATTTACGCGACAACATACGTATAAACTATTATACATATATGTTATTCGCATTATACGTAATAGTATTTATTGAGAAAATTTTACGTTGAATCTTACTACGCGATTATCGTTACATTTGCCGAACTGATAATTGTGCGGTTTTTTCTTTTTTCTTCGCTTTAGCTTCATTTACCCGAAATACCGTAACCACATATAATATATCACATCATGACATAATTAATGTCTAGTACGTTTATATTCGTTTACATATCGGATATTCTCGTTTTTTCCTGTTTTTTTTTTTTTATCAATTTTGCACTCTTATATATTCATCAAGCATTTCATTCTTATTAAAAACTTTCTATGATAAGAACTTTTATTAATCATGATTAGAAGCAATTCTCAATGTCTACTAAAAAATTTTGCTATTAACTATCATTTAAAACAACGAATGTGCATGTAGCCTCATGCGACAAGCTTAATGACGAGCTTAATGTATGTGGCACAATACATAAATATCCTTTGAATATTTTCCTTACGAGAGGATCTATTCGATGTTATGCGAGATGACGAAGATAACAAGGACGATCTTCGCAAGGCCGGTTAGTCACAAAGCATTTAGTTGTTATCGCGTATACGCATCATTGTTCTTGGTAATTCTCTCGCTCAACAACCTTGCAAATCGTCGTTAATTTCTGTAATCCGCTTCGAAAATTGGCATAAGTGAGATCGAAATGACGTGATCGATCGTTTCACCTTTACATACACAAACAAAAATGAATATTAGCTTAATTTCGATGAGGATATATATATTTTTATTTATATAAGATATATATAATTATACGTACTCGTTTTAATATTTTGTTTTTAAATATTATTTTTGCCACATGACATAAAGTATTAATATCTTTTTTAATATTTTTAGCTTTCATATTTTTAAATTTAATATTTCCAACTTATATCTGTAGAAAAATCATAAATTTTTATATTAATATCTTTTATTTACTATAGATTTTTAATTGCTTTTGTCTCTTTAATCATAAATAAAATTGTTTTAATAGAAAATAATTTTTTTTTCTTTTAGGCAGTGTAAGTTTGATTTTTCTACAAGTATAAGTTGCGAATATTAAATTTAAAAATATGAAAATTAAAGATATTAAACAAGATATTAGTATTTTATGACAAAAATAGTAATATTTGAAAACAAAATGTTAAAAGTGGGCACGTATAATTAAGTGTATTTAACGCTGTTTGCAATCCATAAATATTAAAGTAGTATACATTTCGAAAGAAATCCTTACAGTTTAACATTTCAAGGAAGAATTTAGTATTCCAAAATACCTCTTTGCAGTCAAACATTCAAAGGCGTAAGAATTGATTCAGAACGCGTAAATATTTATACGATACATCTCATGGTAGACATAGCGTGTCTCCAGATGGGACGTCGTCGATTCAGACCGATTTCTCCAAGAGGCATTATGTAAGAACTGCTCGGACTGGCCGTGAACTTAACGTCGTCGTCGTCGTCGTCGTGGTCGTCGTAGTCAAACGCGGTCGCCTCCTTTCCCATGCATTCTATACGTCCGATGCATTCGAGTATTTTCGAAAGAGTTTAGTATTTAAATTTTTAATGCTTTTTATTGCAAAAACAATTATTATAATTTATTACAAGTAATAATTAGTCTGTAGAAAAAAGTGTGAGAGAGAGAACCGCAAACAACATATGCAATCTAATAAAATAAAATAATTTATTACCTATTTTTAGAAATTTTGCTTCCTCATAGAGAAAGCTTTGTTTTTATATCAGCTATCAATTTTATTTTCCTTTCTTTTAAATATATTCATTTAAAAAAAAAACACCAACTGCTAAAATTTTTGAATGAATAACATAAAAAATTCTAATATAATATTTAAAATACTAGTTTTATAAAGTAATTATGAATACATTTGTAAATAAATGTAAATTTGTAAGTAAATATATTTTTATAATTGCAAATGAAACTATTTGGGATTTTTTCTGACACAGATTAATAAAAATTTATTCATTTATTTATTTAGTACTTGAAATCGTGCCACGCGCCAACAGTTAAGAGTTAAATAACGTATCAAACGCAGTTCTGATTTCTGCTAATCGTGATGCTGACAGTAATTTCTCGAAAAATTCATTTTCACGTTGCTTCTCAGACATGATTTCAAGAGAAGCATCATTCAAGCATAAACAGTACCCAGAAATCAGCAGCTCTGTTCTGGAAATTCCAGATCATAGCATAAGTGATGATAGCTCACTGACATAAAGCAAGAAACCGTATAGTTTAACTGTTTAAGATTTTGGATGGTTTTCATGTAAAAATAATCAAGTCTCGATTAAAAACAAATTATAGCAATGGGAAACTTCGAAACTTCTATCTCTAAGGAAGATAATTTATTCCACAATATTTCTCAAGCTTTAATTTATTTAGAAAAATACACATTCTGGATTTGAATTTAATTGTTGGTATTAATTTTTAAATATATATATATACGTTTTTTTAAATAAACTATACAAAAAGTGGGAGAAGCGAACAACATTGATTGAGGCGCTAATTATCTATTATTTCTATGTTAAAGAATATAAATAGGAATTAAAATTTTTTTTATAGAAATATTTCTCTAAAGTATAAAGATTATCAAAATATCTCATATAATTAAAAAGCGACACTTTAAATTTCTTTTGTATAAAAGTCACGTATCTTGCAAAACAAAAAAGATAACAATAAATATATATTTCTCATAAAGTTTTCGTTAAGAAAGACTCGACGTCTAGATGTCAGAGAATCTGTGATTAAAATCTCAAAGATGGATAGGGAGCAGATGTTTACGAGCCGGTTATACAAAGGTCAATAAACGCAGTCTGTTCAGGCATGATAAAAAATGAGTTGCAGAAGGCAGTGAGAGAAAGAGCGAATGTGCATGAATCTTATTATCGGAGAAAAAGAGAAGGCAAACATGTATTCAGAATACTATAATCTTCAATGCTCTTCGAAAAAAACTAAAGAGGAAGCATTATATTTTTTAATGCTTCGCAGCATAAGATTGATGAAAAATTGCATAGAATTTGGTATTGTTTTTAGAGAAAAATTATGTCATTAAAAATTCACTAAAAACTATTTTTACCTTAGATATTAGAATGATAAAATGTTTTTTAATAATTTATTATTCAGACTATAAATTTTGTTTACATTATTCATGTTATAGATTTTATTTGCCTTATTTCATAGTTCTTAATGCTTCACAATAGCTTTGTTCAAATTATGTATAAATTTCGATTGTTTTTGACACATTGCATATATTACATTTGTATATATATATGTTATATATAAAATATAATACATGATTAAATGATACGTTTAGTATTATTTGCAATTAAAGTTTTTATTTTTGGGTGTGACATACTTATCTAGCATCCAAGTTTTTCAAATCGATTTAAACATGCAGTGAAAATTTATATGTAAAGTACAAAATCATGAATAGTTAAAAATTAAATATACTGTTGCTTTTTAAACATTATAATACAAAGATATGTTTCTATTATTTTGGCAATATCAATGTTTTTCTAATCCTCGAGCGTTAATTAATTACTAACTGAAATGTCAGTTTGATTCATCATCACAACAAATTTGGCTCCGTGCATTGCTGTCTCGTATCTATCCATACATATCTCGACAAGATCCGCGAACATGTCGCGCACTTTAAGCAACTAGTTCACTTGTGTTAATCTAGATATAAAAAATATGGTGCCTTATGCAAAAGAGGTGATTTTATTAGCGCAAAATATTCGTGATTTTGATTAAATCGAGACAAATTATGAAACACGAATGATAAACCAGTATACTTCTAGTCTTGCCTGAAACGTTATTCAGAGATTAGATGTTTCGTAATAATCTTTATATAATCACATGTTACTCTTTGCTCGCGAACAAACCAAATAAAAAATGATATCGCTTGATTTTTAGAATTTTAGGAATCGATAAAACCGTTCTCCTAATATCGTTCTTTTATAAATTACTGAATTTAGGCATAATTTGATTCAACTAATATATTTCATTCGAAACTGAAGCCGCGCACAAAGTTGTTAATAACGTATATGCTAATGAAATTTTGACACTGGTATCATATATCGGCGTGATAAGCAAAACGATTTAAATAGAAAGTATCAAAATTTAATAACTAGATCTTTATGATTCATAGAATCGTTACGTAATATCTACATGTGAGGAGGGATGCGCGCGCGTTTTCCTTAAATATTTTATATTATTAATTGTATTATGAAATTTTTCTTAACCACTATGTCTATTAATCCCTTATTAATCATTTTAAATTCTTTATATTTCAATTTTGTTTTTTATTTCTTTATTTCTAAATTTATTTCTACTTTTTAAATATGAAAAGTACAAAATATCTAAAAAATGTCCACACACACACACACACACGAAAGACGTTGAAGACACCGTTTTTTTTATAATAAGCTTCAAATATTTCTACTGAATTTTCAATATGTAATATATTAAATATATTAAATACATGACTTCATTCTTTTGAGAAGGAATCAAATTCCTAGTTATTGTTTAATTATCTATGAAAATCACATGTCATATATACATATTTGTCGATTCGTGCGATGACACATTTTCATTGCCGTGACAAATTTAAAATAAAGAGAAAATTAGCTTTCAACTTACTGTACACATTTACGTAGTCAACAAGGATCATTGTACCTTATTCTGTGCAATACTGAGAGCTCTAATCACATCGTATTATTGATAAAGCGTAAATCAACACGTCAAGTCGGCTACAAAGTAGCGTTCATCATGACACAAAGATGCGTTTGCGTGTGCGTTGAGCGGAGGAAGACGATAATAAGATTTACTTACCGAGATGAACCGCCAGGTTGTATCTCTCGAGCGCTTGACCCAAGTGACCTTTCCTCACGAGGATATCACCCTCGTGCCTAGCTCGACTGGCCTCCACTTCTCGCGGCCACCATCTCTCCACGAGTCTCTGCACCAGCACATTCGTTTCACTCACAGTAGCGATCTTGATCCCGCACACGCGACAATTCTTCGCCGGCTCCACGCAATTCCTGCAGTACGTGTGACCGCAGCCGGCGGTCACCGGTTGGCAGAGAGTGCCCTCGCACATGGGACACGCGAAGGATGTCTCGAGTTTCCGTCTGGAGGTCATTCCGGCGCCGGCCATGTCCTCCAGGAGCGCGGTCGCCAGGTGCTTCAGTCTCTCGGCCGACATCGACGTCGCGTTTAAACACCTGGAGTAAATCCCGATAGACTCCTTGACGCGACCGCACTTGGCCAGGGAATCACCGTAGCCAAGTAACTCTTCATAGCTCGATCCTTGCTGCTTGAGGCAACGCTCGTACAACTCGACCGCCAGATGGTAATTGTGGGAGGTGAACGCCTCCTTGGCGAGCTCCGTCATCGCACTCGTATGTCACTCTCCTCGATAACGAAAACGGAATTATTCTCTCTCGCGCCGCTTTTCTTCTACGAATCACTCATCGCGCGTCGGATATCCGCTCGGTAAAAAACTCTCGATGCCAATTTTGTGACGCTAAAGACGACAAGCATCTTGTATAAAGAGGTTTACCGAAGATCACGCAATCACGAGTCACTTGATCCCGGAACAGATATACTAGGCGGGGATTCACCGGATTGTCGTCGGGATGACACACAGTATTAGTTTGACAGTTGATCGTCCACGCGTGCTGCTCCGCACGTAACGCGCGTGCGACGTGCGTTCTACACAGCACGCTGGCGCACTGAGGACTGACGCCTCGGCTGTCATCAGTCGGCCGAACCACTGTCAGAGTCGGCCCCGCTCGGCCGGCCGTCAACAGGGGGTGGTGGTTGTGATGGTGTTGCGGCGGTGGTGGAGAAGTGCAGCCGCCTTCGAGGCACGAAGCCAGCGCCACGCGGCTTCGGTCGTACTCTGCGGGGGTCGGAGGGGGTCGTGGGGGAAATTATGGACCACGCTGATTGTGAGCGTAGCTCGAGGAGCGTGTTGCCGCTTCACTCGTGTCGAGGCGGCGTGTTTGCCGCGGTGCGTAGGTGTTGTTGTCGCACTCCCACTGCTCTTATCCGACGAGGCGTCGTCGCGTCACGACCGGGGCTCGTTTCTTTGTCTAACGAGTGCTCCCTGATCTCCGACCGCTGTTACGATTGAGCAAATTGTTATTGTTATATGCAATGAGTGCAAAATATTGTTTTATGATTTCTAATCACGAGTTTGTGAAATTTTTTGTGCGATTTTTTCTATTTTCCTTTATGAAGTTTTTCCTTAATCTCTCTCTCTCTCTCTCTTTCTTATTGTCTCATTGGTTTAAGAGAAAATAAAAACCGTGATTCTTTTCTTTTTAATCTTTTTTCTTATTCTTATTTATATCTTGTTTATTTGTAACTTTGGTATAATATCATGGAAATATATTGCACTTAATTATTCGTATACTTTGTAATAATCTTTATGCATGATTGTCATATCGTAGATTATTTCCATTTTATCTACAAAATATATAATAACAGATTTTTATTGCATTGTTTTTATTTTAATTTTCAATTTATTATACTGTAGATACCCATATAAAGTTCCACGTTAATATAAAATATTTAATTATTGGAGGAATTTGCAATTATAATTTTTTTTAATTGTTTCATCGTTTGTCTTGAAAGACATTTCGTATTATAATATGATCTGTATATTTTTCAGTTATCAGATAAAATCCTAGCATATTTATATGATATATTTTTACTTAAAGCATATAATCTGCTTATTAAAATGTTTCTCAAATTTCTTTGAAACTAAAATTTATATAGTGCTGAGTCAAAATCCGCATTATTTTCTTATCACGTACGATTTACGTACGATAAGTATATTACCTTGGAATCCAATGCTGTCAGTCAATGATTCATCGACTATGCTAGTAACGTATTAAATTATTTCGATTTCCTCTATTAGCATTCTCCACATACACACATACATATTTGCTTCCGTCAGAAAGTTACATATCAAAATTAAATTGTCTATCATTTTTTATCAATGTCAAGTCGTGAATTTTATCCCAGACGCCTTCCCGGACACTTGTTGTTGTAACCTTGGCTCGATCGACCGGATACTTCCACGGGAATGGATCTCCTCTAATCCCACCGGAACATCAAGTGTGCACAAACTGTACGATAATGCTTCTCAGCGAGAAGAAGCGTGATTGCACGGTCGATGCACAAAACGCTGAGCAAGCTTGACGCGAGGAGTAAATCGGATAAATTGCTTTTCACTGGGAAATGTCAGCCCTTTGGTCTTTAAAGTTCTCACTGAGCATGAGCAGTGACTTGATCCCGAGATATCCCGCCTGTTCGATGCGTGTACACACATCGTATATACGCGTGTCCGCATAGGGAGTACGCAGACGCCATGGGGCCGCACTTTGGAATAAAGGGAGAGGGCTGAACTGCGTACTGTGAGGGTGGCAAGGGAAAGGGCGGCGAAGAATGGGAGATCAATATATGGCGAGTTCACGGGGTGATTAACCTCTTGCATTTGCCACCTATCTATGGAATATTCTTTTTACTAGATCGAAGTTTAACAATAGAGAGATTGCTGAATGGATTTGAAATAGGCTTCTGTCTTAATAAAGTCGAGAAGCAAAAATTCCAAAGAAAATCTAATTATAAAAATATTTATTAAAATAAAATAATTATAAAAAACTAGATTTTGAGAGCGTAAATACATATAAAAAAGCTTACTTCTCAAATAAAATCTAATTGATATAATTGATGACTCTTATCTAATCAGAAAATTTATATAATTGCAGTAATTCATGGATTTGGATTGATGCATTTATTTTCGATGTATTATATATGTAAAAATAAACATAAAATTATATACATTAAATATATACAAAATATCAATTAAATATTTTTACTTTATAGTATGGTATATATTAGATATAAAATGTATGTGTGTGTATGTATTTAAATCTATAAATAGCAGCATCGCAATTTGGAAATTCTTGAGATTTATTCTGGTTGAGGAGATATTTTATAGATACACTATTATTTATTGCGCGATTGAATCGCAACTGAAAATAATGTGCATAATCGCGTCATTATGTTAACGATAAGATGTAAAATGGATGAATATCAATAGTTGTAACTGGAATAACAAACACGTATATTGATGCATATTCTTACGTGATTATTCGAGGTAGTTAAATTATACCATTGTGGCGCAGTATTCAAGAGTAGAACATAACAAATATAATGACGTATATTGTTTTTCAACGGCAAAATGTATTGGATGGGAATAAATAGTTACCTAATAAATGCTTAGAACTTATATATATTATAAAAGCGCGTCGGGGCAGATTAATAATAGTCATTATAATAATAGTCACTGTTTATTATCTTATTCCAATTTGTGCGTTAACATACACAATATATATTTCTATTTATATGCTTAATTGAAAATTTTGTTTTTTTAACCTGAAATGATGCACCCCTGCTTGTAACAGTTTCTCGGAGTTACGTCGCGTTCTACGAATAAATTTGCTCCCCAATAGCAGGATCATTGATGAAGCACGGGAAAAATGTATTACACATATTATTTCTTCTTGGTGTGTTGTTACGATGAGGAATATCAGCGCTATTACGACGCGACGATTACCACGAAGTAGTATATATAAAACAGTGTTTATAGTAAGCGCTTCCGATTTCAATATAAAAATGAAAATCACGAGAGATAGAGAGGCGGATGTAATTAATCATAGAAACTCACGTTTATTTTAAAAAGATTGTAAATGAAAAAAAAAATAATAATAATTTTATTCACAAGTGTGTACAGATATCTCGGGATAATAATGTAAATCGAGAAGTAAATTATATATATTAAGAGAATAATATAAACATGAAATATATATATATATATCTACACATATTTGTAGAATAAAGTTTTATATTACGACAATAAATATATATCAGATCAAAAAAATTATATAAAGAGAAAATATTTTATAAATAAAATAAGGATATTAAGACTTGTTTTTAAAAATTTAAATAAAGATAAATAGAAACTTTAGTATTGTATTCAACATTTATATATTGATTGAGAGGAATCCAAGTAAGAGTCGAAATTGGCGCCGCTATTTACAACGCTACTACTGAATACTATATCACATATACGTCTATGTTTTTACTGGTGCATCTCTCTCTCTCTCTCTCTCTCTCCTTATATATATTTTTAGATATTTCAATATTTTATTTTTGCCGACTAATAATATATCATTACTCCGCCGAATTGCTCGTACATGCATGACTCGGAATATGAACGCATGCTAGAAAAGTAAATTGCTATAAGGAAAATTGTAATCAATAACTGACTCCACATGATATGTGTGAAACGAAAACAAAAAAAAAATCAACGATAAGTATACACGTCTGGCATTGCAGCACTCTGTTCGGTTTCGATAAACACGGACGCTGCCAGAGAATGCGGGCGAAAAACGATTGCATCTCGTCGCGAAATCCGAAAAACCACGCTCGCTTAATCTCCAGCTGCATACGCGCGTTTATCTGACGTCTTACGTAAGGTATTTGTGCCGTACAAAGAGTCACCTTTGCCGATCGCAAAACAAATTGTTAATCATCGAAATACGGCGTATCTCCCGCCGTTACGTAAATGGTTTACACACGGTCGGCGAGACGCGCCGCGACCACGAATGTCGTCGTACCTGCTCCTTTTGGCGGCGGACGAGACGGATTTTATCATGCGTAGCGCAACCCGCGAATCATCGTCATCGTCCTAGAATAGTATTGTCGTCGATATTCATCATTATTGTCAAAATCGTAAACCGTGGCCTTTCGCGACGCTATGCTAATGTATATGTTTTAATTTCGCTTTTCTTTCTCTCTTTCGAACAGAATCGTACTATAAAGTAACCGTGATATAAAGAGTAAAAATAACTGGTGCATGATTACATTATCGACGTTTATTTAATTGAACTATGATAGAGAAAAGAGAGAGATAGATAGAGAGAGAGAGAGAGAGAAAAATAGAGGAAATGTTCGGTTAGGATTTGTTCCAAATTTCGAACAAATCAATTTTGAATTTTATCAATGTCTTAATTGTCATTTGTAATTCAACAGCATCATAAGATTTATATTATTTAATATATTTAAATATTTTGAAAATGTAAAAAATGTGATCGTTAGTAATCTTTCGTGTTTATTCAACTTTCGTATAATATAATCGTGTCTTTATTTTATAATTTGAAAATCTGATTCTGTTTTTTTTTTTATTTTAATATAATGTAGATATGTTTTAAATTGTTGCTCATCAGTTCGTACATATACTTTCAAAAGCAACGACGATTACTTCAAAATGCTCGCGCGCAATGACATAACTTAGTCGACCCACTCCGCGTTCGTTATTAAGCATTTCGCAATTAGATGCCTTACGTGGTCACGCGTTTACTAGAGCGTTGAGCAACGCTCAACGAGTTCGAACACAGTCGAAAAGCATGGATGCCGGCTTGGATTCCTCAATCGGCCAGATACATACGACTGAAACGTTTCGAGTATACCTACTTGCTGGAGAGGTTGCGCTATTTTGTAAAAATGCGGTTAGAGCCGCTTCAAAAGAGGCTGCGGTTTTGGTGACGTTACGTAAGGCTGCCTCTGCCGATTAATTTACAAAAAAATGATTGACTACCATCCACGACGATAAAAGGAGTATCTTTACGATGAAAATAAATTACATCGGCTTTGTCTTCTTGATTAATAACGTGCAATGTGCAATTAATAATAATTCAATGTAAAGCCAATCTGTGCCAATAATTCGTTGTTCAATTCTTTATTTAGTATAATGTTAAAATCTGTTTGACAAGATCAACATTTAGCATTTTAATTGTTCTTTTCGTTGTTCCACTGACAATGAGTGGACATCACGCGTTATTATCCTATTTTTTTATAAAGGAAAATTTCCATCTAATCTAACACTAAAATTACATACTGCATAACAAAATTGTTATATAAACGTTTTACGTTAGACGATGATTTCCTGACTCTCGTTATCAGAAGAGCCAGAGAGCTGTTCGAGTGGGGCGCGATCGCGATGCATCGCAACGCGTGGACGCACGCGCGATTTACACGCGCGGATTTTTCACGCGCGCGACGCAACGCGACGTCGACAGACGGCTACGAAACGCCGGTTGCGTAAACGCGGCTTAACCGCTTCGAGAACCTACGGAGAGAACGAACGAGCGCGGTGACGGTGCGGTCTCGCGAA